TTTTTGCCATGAGATGACAGATCAGTTAATGAGTGATTTTTGTTTTCTGTTTTATCATTGTTATAAAGTTCTTCCTTAACATCTTCTTTAATGATACTAAAACTTCCGTGAATGTTAGTATCACTTAGAGAGCTGAAAATCTGGAAGATTAATCTCGTATTGGTTTGGTCAGTAGAGGCCTACAGTTTGAATAGCACTGAGACTCCTTGGGCCTCCTAAATGTCTGTTTTCATGTTCCATGAAGCTGATGTTCACCAAAGTCTGAGAAGAACTGAAAAAAATGAAAAGAGAACAGAAAGAAAGGAAAGGAAAGGAAAGGAAAGGAAAGGAAAGGAAAGGAAAGAAGGAAAAACCCTACTGCTTCGCAGTCTTAATTAAACACTGGACCCACCATAGAAGTTGCTTTAAGACTGCCAATGACTAAGTCTCACTCAGCCTTTTCCTACAAAATCAAAGTGACAAGCTGCTTGCCATAGATTGTTTAGTTCTTCAGAGGACTCTCCTGTGCAGCCAAGTTTGGAAATCGTTTCTTAGTCAGTAGCTCCATTTCTAGGTTCCAAGTCTAGGCTATCTGCAATTGATACTTTTTAATATGCTCCAATGGTAGGACAGGTGATGGATAGAATGCTAGTATCTGAAGGAAATAATCTTTCCCAGCCTTGAGTGAAATCAATCCTAGCTTACCTTGCACACAGCAGGCAGTGAAACGGAGGACTCAAATTCAAAAGTACTAAGTGTGAGTCAGCCAGAAGAGGTACAAATTTGGGCAAAAGAGCAAGTTCTATAAATCTATGGAAGTGGAACCCATTTAGTTAACTCTGAAGGGCCAAATGTGCTATTTAAAATGCTCCAATAGAGCATTCAGCTTCACAGCTGTCTGTAGCTTTAAGGCCAAATTCTCTTTCGCGAAAGTTAGGAAACAGAAATAGGAGTACTAACAAAAGCAACAGGTACTACTGAGATTTTAATTAAGCCCCAAAGACTCCAAGCACCTCATCTGTGATTCCTGTATGCATTATTCTTTGCCAACTGGTACAAACAGATTTCCCTTGACCTTCCTCGCACTTGACCCAAATCTCTGAGTCTGGATATTATTAACATAAAAGGTATACCAAAAATTTAAATTTTAGGTACTATAGAGATCTAACACAAACCCAAGGCTTCTCTGATATTTCACCAAGATTTTTTTTATTGTTATTATTGTTGTTTTATTTATTTATTTTTTTCAGTTTTTATTACAGTCCCTTACAGGACTGTGTTAAAGAATTAAAAAACAAAACAAAACAAAACAAAAACTACATTTCCTCTATTTGGGAAACTAAACTTCAATTTTAGACAGAAACTGTGGATATTAGCCCTTTATAGAGAATTAAAAACAGGATCATGACCTTGTGGCTCACTGGTTCCACAGAGGCCTCAGAGGAGCCGTATTATATGGTGTTGATAAAATTGTTTTTTTGTTGTTGTTTTTGTTTTTTAACTCTTCTGGGCCTCATTTTCTTTTTATGTACAACAATAATGTCTTTCTTATGTTTCCTTTTTTCTTTTTAAAAAATTAATTTTATTGGTACATTTAAGGTATACAGTGTAATGATATTCATCACTGGAAATTTGCACCTTAACCTAATCCATGTTGGTTCTTATTTTTCCGCATTCCCCTGTCCTCCCTTCAACCCCTCCCTCGCTCTCTATCTACAAAGGCTTTGTTTCCATTTTTCAATTTTCTCATATTAATTCCATTCTACATAAGACATAGGAACCTGTACAATCCTGTGATTGCAGTCAACTGCAAATTTATTGTGTTCATTTTCAAACTTCCAATTGCAACACTAAAGTGGGTCGTTTCCCTGCAATGATACAATACTTTCTCCTCCCTCTTTTCTTTCCTGCTGTGTAATGGCTATTGTTTTTTACTGATATGATTTACAAGACTGGAAAAAGCAAACTGCAGTCTCCAACTCATTCCTCTTAGGGTGGATAGAAAATAAACTATTTTTCCTCTGATCTGCTTCCAAATCACCCTCACCAGCTGTGAGTCTCCCCTTTACAGAAAGTTATCAGTTGAAGCTTTTCCCACAGTTTGTTTGTACTTAGCCATCATTTTGAAATGAGATTCTGTTTACTTCATGGGTTTAGGAAAATGCAATCTATCTCAAGGCTCACCCATTTTGTTTTCCCCTAATTGGAACAGGAAGAGAAAGGAGCTTCTCTAATTTGGTGGTGATCTGAAAAATACTCCAAAGACCCTTGTTTGATCCTCCTAAATTATAAAAGTAATTATTGTTTTTTAAATTGCTTGTAGTATAGTATAAATTATTAATTTTTATTCTGAGAAAAAAATCTATATTCTAGTTAGTGAAAAAGAATATTGAGGTACGTTTGATTATTAATAATAAGAAATTCTCAATGGAAACCCTAATCTGAGTGATGTGAAAAATCCTCTGTAGTTTGTCTGATATTTGTAGACTGCTTTATATGGCCCAAAACTCACTCAAAAAATTATTAGTGGTGATGACAAGAACATAAATATGAGTATGAACTTGGCTTTCTGCTCTTACATTTATAACTGGATAGTTTCATGAGGCTTCAGAGCATTTAAGTTTTCACCTGGGAATGTAGTCACTTGTGATAAGATTCAGCTTATTGACAGGAAGGGCAAGAGTAAGCTGCCTGCTTTCCTTCTGACAAAGTCTTTTCAAGATTCCACTCTCTCAATACTCACTAAAAGCAGCAAAAGTCAAATCTGTGCTTTCTTTGTAGTGAATGCATGGGATATTTTCAATTTGATGAAATGCAAAGTGGTGAACTGGGCCAGCCTTGCTTCTGTTTTGCACCAACAACAGAAAAGTAGAGGAGAGTTCTATTTACCGTGAACATCAAGACATTCCTGTTAAGTGGGAAAAAAAAGTTTCTCCCTCTAATATAAGTTTACTGATGTATTTTTTTTAAAAAAAATCTTTTCTTATTCACTGAGGAATATATATTTTAAAGTTCTCAGAGTTCCTATTGACATGAAATATAACAGTCCTACTATAAAATTCAAGTTCACACAAATTTTTATCTGGTGCCAAATTAATAGCAAAAACAATTTATTTGGAGTCAGAGTCCACTGAGTTGAAACCTGACTGTAAAACTGTCTCTTTTACTCTTTGAGTCTTGGTTTTCTTTTCTTATCATGAACTATTAGCTTACATATGCAATATGATCCTTATGAGCCCTGTAATTCCTTGATTAAATTTCCAATGATATTTTGGTTTTCTCATGTTTGCTTACAAATCCCAAATTATGTGCACAGTTCTTCACATATGTTATTTTTCACATTTTGTCTTTTTCATAACTTGGTTGTTTCATTTAGCAAAGGCCAACCTACGATTTCCTATCATCTAAGGTTTGGACCTTAGAACTGACAAAAGCTCTGGTGTCTGAAAGAGGACTCAAAAATGTGGACAGATGGGCTAGAATAATGCACATCTGTCTGCTCCTTCTGGTTTGTGCCATGGTGAGTTGGTTTTATCAGGGAGCTATGCTCTTGAGAGAGGACCAGTGCTAATAATTTTCTAAGACTACTTTTAGGTGGCTAAACACTGGCCTTGGGAAAATAATGTCCCATGATGTGCTGGGGCCAACTCAGCTCCTCAATCCTTCTGATGTCAGTCTTGAGTCTCCTCCTAACTCCACATTTAGTGACATCCTATCAGTGGCTCGAAATTGACTAAAAAACAAGTATTTATATAAAAAAAAATCAACAAATGCTACAAGTCAAGATTTTTAATAGAGCTGCTTGTTAGATATTTATGAGCACATAAACATACACAAGGGCTGATTGAAATGTATGGTGAATGTTTAATCCCTCTCAAAATATTCCTCCTTGCCTCAAATGTAGTGATCCCATCATTTTTGCCACTTTTCTGAAGCAGTTCTGGCAGTCCCCTTTCATGAATGTCCTTAGGTGAAGGCTGCTGCTTAGTCACATCCAACAGAGGCAGCCTCATAAAATCATTATGATGCGTCCTTTTCCATCTTATGTACTGGATTTGGCACCCTGTGGCTTTTGACTTATGAAAGGTAAATGTTTTGAATTGGTTCAAAACACTGAGGCATGCATATGCATACAGTAGCATCAAATATACTCAAGAACAAGGACTTTTGGAACTGCCTCATAAAGTGACAAAATTGATAGGATAAGTATGTTCAAAGCAAAGGCATGTATTTAAAGGGGGGATTAATGTCAATATATCTTTTACTGTAGTAATATTTTCAAACTTACCTCATACTTTTCTATCACACCTCACACACACACACGCACAGTGTGTATTCAGAATTTGTAAATGTTTTTTGGGTAAGACAAAGAAAGGAATTGTAACTTTCTTTTCCCAAATGTTATTTAATGATTTATTCTCGGTGTAAGATATCCATGCAGTTAATGTTTAAATGTATAAAATGTACCAGTATTTCATAGAATTATTAATTGAATACATATTCATATGTGCCAAACATATTATAAATGGAATCTGTATACCCAAATTGTCACTATTTGTGATATAACTAATACAATATTGCTGTTAATATAAATTTTCTATAAATAAGCTTGTGAAAATGGAATACATTGCTTGAGCATTCCTGTGATTTATGTTTCTTCTCAACTATCCACTCTCATAAATAACACTGTGACGAACAACTTGATATGCCTTAAATAGCAGAAAAGTATTCCAGAGTGGAAATATAAAATGTCATTGTGTTTGGATCTTGCGCTCCCTGAATTGTTGACAGTATGTGGGAGAAGATGGCATGAACTGTTTCATCATGGCCAAGAAAAATTCAGCTGCCTGTGTAGCAGTTTAGAGAACCTGGTGATTTATGGGAGCCCTTTAAATGCTAACTGATGGTGTTGGTGGCTGTACTACCAGGTGGTGTTGAAAAGAATGTTCCAGGTTATACAACAACCCTATCATTAGTGTCAGAGCAGATGCCAACTGTTTTTTGTTCATTTTCCATTCTAGACTTGATTGTGGACACCTAGGAGCAATGTGAGTAGCTTGATGGATCCGGAGTCAACCAACACCATCAGGGAGAGTTTGGAAATAAGCAGAGGTACAGTCTTGTGTTGGTGGGGGAGGCCAAGAGCTTCTGGCAAGTCTTGCTTGCCAAATCTACCTCCAGATTTTTGGGCCGTTTTGTTCCCTAATTTTCTACCCAGGCAGCAAATCAGGCCAACTAATCTGGTACATTGTGTTCCCTGATAACTCTGCTTTGAATATATTTTTATATATCTCCACCTGCTGTGTTCACCTAAGTGAAGGTTCTGCTGTGGAATACATTTTGTTTTGAATTTATTTAATTCTTGAACTCAATGTACTAAACTCATAATATAGAGCTGCCCACTGAAAGGTGAGTTGTGGCTATTTAGAAATCTGAAGAGGGCACTATCTTCATTTTTTGAGATTACAATGTAATAGTAGGGAAAAGAGGTCTTAAAATGCCCATGTGATAAGGTGCATGGGATATCATATGAATTGTCACTAAGATATGGGAACAATTGTAAAGTTGCTTGAGAAGATGGGATAACAATGCCTTAGTGAAACTAGTGGCAAGGGTAGTTTTTCAAGTGGTGAACACAGAATAAAGGAATTCTAGGGAGAGGGCATGCCATAGACAAATAAAAAGATAATATGAGTTGCTAGCTTCTAAGATCCAGTTTTACATCACTTCTGAAGTCAAGTATGTGGGTTCTCCTTGCCAAACAAACCCATAGAATGGCCTACACTTTTATTTTATTGTGACACTGCCTAGAGTTAGTGCACACCCACCTCATACATTAGAGGCTCGGTCCCACAAGACTGCCCCCAATTTCAGATGCCAGAACAAACAGTTGTGTCTGGGTCTGCAGAGCCCCTACTTCTGTCCAGTCCCTCTAATAAAGTCCTCCTTAGGTTTGATAGTTTGCTCCTGTGGCTCACAGGAATCAGTTTAACACTGGGTATATTATTGTTGGTTTACTATATAAAGGATATTATAAAGGGCAGAAATGAACAGCCAGATTAAGAGGCACAGAGTGCAAGGTCTCAAAGAGTCTTTTAAGTATAACACAGTAATACATTGGTTCAGGAATTCCACATCCATTGATAAATGTGACTGTGGCCATTTTACCCAGAATCAGGGAACAAATTAATTTCTTGAACCAAAATACCACTATAGAGAACTTCTGTCCCCCATGGATTTGGGGCACTGCACCTTCTAGCCATGTACATATCCACCAATCTGCAAGGTCATTGATTCAATTGTTTGAGCTTTTATGTAGTTTAATGTCTAGCCCTGCTTCCCTTCCCAGAGATTAGTAGATGGGGAAGAAAGTTTCTGATGATTAGCTCCATCCTGATACTCTATGTAGGGCTAACATCTTCTGTTACCTTCCTAGCATAAACTGAGGTGTGGTGTGAGCTCCTGGGGTCTCTTCTATCATTCAGCAAATTCTAAGGACATTGGAAGTACTATGCCAAGAAACAGGAACAAAGATCCAATACGCTGTTTTTATGTTACACACTTAATGCAATGGTGCTTTTTGATAATGAGCTGTCACATGTGCTATCATGTTTTATCAAAGTAGAAGTAGAAAACACCAAGAATTGGCTAAGCATAGGTCAGAGGGACAGTGGTGGCTATTTATCTGGGACAGCCAATTGTTCCTGTACCAAAGAGCATGTCTTAATTTGGATTCCCTCAGGAGAAGATCCCAGGACAAATAGTTTAATTATTCTGTTTGTGAAAAAATTTCAGGAAGCAGGATGACAGAAGCCCAGTGAGTCAGGGAAGGAAGAAAATCCAATAAAAGTTGCAAGAGTGAGCCTATTTCCTTGGGGGTAGGTGCAGTGAGTAGACATTTATTGAGAATGTAGAATATAAAGGGTTACCAGACACTCAGTAATCAAATTGAATAATATTCTAATGAACTGTTTTCAGAGTTCAAATCAATGCAGAAAAATCTATAATAAAAAATTATCAAGATTTTAATAAGGACAGATTCTGTTACAGGCCTTATGAGAGCTTAAAGCAAAGAGTAAATAAGTAAAAATACATTGTCTGTATTTCTTAAAGGATAATTTTTCCAGAACATTAAATAGCAAAATATGTAAAGTGAAATTACATAATTTTAAATGTAAGCATTTTATTTATATAAAAAATTGATTTGTGCCAGAAGTTGTCACAAATACTCGGGAGGCTGAGGCAGGAGGATTGTGAGTGTATGCCTGTCCTGGGTTACATAATGAATTCAAGTCCAGCCTGAATTACATAGCCGGACCCTGTCTCCAAAAAACCAAGGGAGGGGAAATCAAACCAGATTTAATTGTAATTTTACTTTACTGGTCTTTTTAGAAGCAAACTCAATAATATATTCATTTTAATCATTAGCCTTTAAGAAATGCATAAAATTGATTAAATAGCAGCATAGATATATCTCCTTCTGACGCTGCACTGGATACTGCTGTGGTCTCAATCTGCTGAGGATACCCTGAAAATGGTTCCACTAAGATGTTAGGATGCTGAGGTATTTCTCCACCAACTTCTGCCCCTTCTTGGGTGAAGACTTTTCCTGCATTTGTTTACTCTGGTGCTTTCAGCATGCTCCTAGAAAAGGCCAAGACTTCCAAGAAAGGCACTACCATCATTTGCTAAAGGATTTTGATGAACATCCAAGGACCACAGGTTTTTCTGCTGTAGACGTGTGGAGCCCCATGGCTTTGGAGGTGTGGGATACACTTCAAGGCTCGTGGAAATACTTCTCTGGAGTCACCACGTATGGTGGGTTGGGCAGTGAAGAAAGCTGGAAGGAGCATGGCTGATTTAGAGACAACTGCAATAACTTGGTTGGGGGGTAAGGTGGGCTTGAGCAAGAAGTGCATCTAATGAAGTAAGAAAAAGAGAAGAGGAAAGAAAATCTTATAGGATAGGAATCACTGGGTCTTGGCAACAAGTAAATGTGTTGGACAAAAGGAGAGAAGCTGTACCGATGCTGTGATTTCCCTCAATGACTAAAAAACTGTTGATTTTGTTTTCAGAATTGAGAGATTGAAAGAAAGGGCAGATTTGTTGAGGAGAGAGATTTGTGTTTACAAACATGCTGAGGGCAGAGATCCAGGCTTGGCTCACAAATGCTTAGGCACAAGAGATGATTTTTGGATGTCCAGGAAATTGCAGGTCTCCTTTTGCCTAATTTGATGTTCACAAAAGATTTGTTAGCATTCATGGTCTTAAAGGAGCCTGGCATCCCCACCCCTTCCCCGCCTGACACATAGCAAGTGCAGCAGTGAGCCATGTAGTTGGGTGGACTGAAATGTTATGGTGTCCATATTGAGGAGTTAAGTGTTAGACACCATGGACAGTGGAGGGAGAGATGAAGTGGAAGCAGTGAGATTAGATCAGGTGGAGGCTGCTACAGGCATCTGGACGAGTGAGAATGGTTTGGACTGATTAATAGGTACAACACATCTCATGGGGCTGTTGGCCTCTGGAAATATTTGCATTATTGTGTTCTTGAGTCATCCAATTGGAGATAGCTTCTAGTCATTTAGAACTGCTTGATTTAATTCAGTAAAGTATTGGGGCCAAAAACCATCATTTGGGGAAGTTGCGTAATGCATGCACTTTCTACACGGAGTTGTGGTTGTGGTTGTGAATTGGGGTAGACTTTATGATATATCATAGACTATCAAGGACAACTGTAGAAGGTTGAATTTTGTCCTTAACCCTCATAAAATGATATTGTAATTCTAACCTACAGAATCTCCTAATGTGACTTTATATAGAAATAAGACCGTTGAAGAAATAATTAGTTAAGACGAAGTCTTAGAGTGGTGAACTAGACCCTAAATTCAATAGGACAAATGTCCATGCACAAAGAGGGAAAGGTAGACACAATACAGACACACAAAAGGATGACACCACCAACAACAGAAGCAGAAATTGGAATAATGCAGCTCTGAGGCAACACACACTGAGAATCAATGGCTTCTACAAGAAGCTAGGAGGCAAGGATGGATTCTACTCAGAGTTTTAGACTGAACCTGGTATCACCAGTCTTCTGATACCTTCATTTCAGACTTATTTCCTTCATAATTGTAAGACTTAAATTTTAGTTGTTTTCAGTCTCCCCATTTGCAATATTCTATTATGGTAACTCCAGGAAACTAGGACAAAAGTCTGGTTCTAGAGAGGAGCTGAAAAATAAATGAATATTTTCAAGAAGGACTGGCAAGAAATATAGAAAAACCATCTGGAATGTGTCGAGATTGGAATGGGGAAGAACATCATAAGAAAGAAAAGTTACTTTTTTTTTTTGGTACCGGGTATCGAACTCAAGACCTTGTGCTTGTGAGGCAGGCAGCAGAACCACTGAGCTAAATGCCCAGCCCACAAAAGTTACTTTTGGGAGGCTAAATATGTTTGAACAATAAAGGGGAAGGGTTGACTCAATGCTTTGCTCGTGGTATACTTTAGAGAAGACAGAGAACAGGGTAATTACATCATAGGCCAAGAAGGACAGGTAAGAAAGGGAAGCCCTTGTATAATGCCTGTTCTGAGATGTGTGGAGGGAAGAAGATATGGAACGAAAATACGATAAGGTGACAACTGAAAGCCCAAGAATCAGTTTTACTATTCTTTTTCAGTTTAACTATTCTTTTTCTTTTAAGGAAAATAGAAGATGCAGCTTTTTAACTAACAGCAAGTTTTTAGTTATACATGCTTAGAAATGGAGGGAAAAAGAAATGATCAAGGGAGGAGGGGGTGAAGGGCAAGCACGGACAAAGAGAAAAAAATGAGAACCAAGACCTGTCATGTAAAGGTACAGGATCCCAATGATGAATGTAATTGTACTGTATACCTAAAAATAAACTCAATGAGGGAAAAAAAGAGAAATGATCAAGATTGGAGGCTCCCACATAAGACTGAATGAGATAGGATCAATTTGCGAGTCAATTTGGAGTTGAAAAATAATGCTAGGCAGGAAGGCTGGCCTGGATTCTAGCATTCCAGCTTTGCCCCCTTCCCCACTATCTATCTCATCTAGAGTTAGTTGCTTAGTTTTTGAATCTCAA